TAATATCATAAAGTACTCAGCAAATCACTATACATATAACTAACACCTTATCCTTGCCGAGAAATATAATTTATTTCAAACAAACGTTTTCAGCCTGATTCACAGGCCATCTTCAGGTTGAGAACCAAATTTGAATTAAAGGATTCTATTAATGGAATACAAAATTCAAAATTAAATAAGCAACAGAATAAGATAAAATAAAAAATTAAATATTAAATAACCAACGGAATAACATAAAATAAAAATATAAAAATGTAAAAAAATGTATTTAGAAGTATTAAGAAATACAATTACTAACACATCCAATAAAATTACTATTTTGACTGGTTAGAGCTCTTATTAAATTTCTTAACTATACACTTCCATGCAGAGGGAAGACTTTCTGCATCCCTCGCATCCCTGAGAGCAGGCTTCCCATAGGGACCCCTCTTCTCTGTCTGTAGATCTGCCCATTAAAAGCAAAACAAGATTCACAACACACCAATCTAGCCATACCCTCTACTTCCTCTGTATAACTAAGAAACTCTGAGTTTTTGCCGTATAAGAAATCCAAAAGTGCCTCCTTGCATGATTCTATCTTTACTGACGGATACATGTTCTCATAGTCGAAAACAGTTGCAACTTCATCTTCCATTAATGTAATATTTTGCAGATCTTTGACCACTTTCATAGGATCATGTGCAATATTTTATATTATGGAGAAATAACAGCAGGATTAAGGATTTTTTGGATAAGATCAATGATAACAATGATGGCCTTACTTTAAGATTGGAGCAGAAGGATTCCTTGGATCTACATTTTCTAGACATCGGTATTAAATTCAAAAAAGGCCATCTGTCCACTAGCGTTTTTATAAAACCATCCCACAGCCCATTGTATATTCCCTCCCAATCCAAGGATACGTATAAATATAAAATTGCAGCTTTCAGAATTTTAATAAGAAGGGCATTTTTGTATTGTGAAACAGTACAAGACAGAAGTAAAGAAATAAATAGAATAACGAGCGTGGCCAAGACCCTAGGTTACCAAAAAAGTGCAATTCTGGTATGAAGTTAGGAATGTATGAAGCGATCAACAAGAAAGGATCTTTTAAAAATGCTCCCACTGGAATCATAAAATTTACATATAATGAAAGTATGAATAGCGTTATGAGATTGCTTGCAGAAAAGATTCAAGAATGCTTATAGAAAGGGCCTCTTATTTATACAAAATCCTCAGAAATGATAAGGATGCTATAATGTCAGAGGAGAAAGCAGGTGTTTATAGAATTCCTTATGAGAATATGCAATTGGGCGTTAAAAAAGACTATATTGGAGTAACCACCAGGAATTTGGGACTTAGAATCAAGGAACATAGTTATAATATCAGAAAGGAGTCTAATTCAACAATTTTGTCCCAAATGGTGCAAGCACCAGGATCAGTAGTCAAATGGAATGAGGCAGCCATCATAGAACCTTTATCTTCCCCATCTTTGGCATTGACAGATTTATAGGAGTAAAATACAGGAAGGCTGTTTAAATGCGAGGGATGCAGAAAGTCTTCCCTCTGCATGAAAGTTTATAGTTAAGAAATTTAATAAGAGCTCTAACCAGTCAAAATAGTAATTTTATTGGATATGTTAGTAATTGTATTTCTTAATACTTCTATATACATTTTTTTACATTTTTATATTTTTATTTTATGTTACTCCGTTGGTTATTTAATATTTAATTTTTTATTTTTTATTTTATCTTATTCTGTTACTTATTTAATTTTGAATTTTGTATTCCATTAATGGAATCCTTTAATTCAAATTTGGTTCTCAACCTGAAGATGGCCTGTGAATCAGGCTGAAAACGTTTGTTTGAAATAAATTATATTTCATGGCAAGGATAAGGTGTTAGTTATATGTATAAGCAGAATTATTTAAAACCAGTTCTGATAAGTTTTATATTGATTCTAAATTGCTTGTTACCCAACTGTAGATGATAGGGATGTGATATCACTATTGAAGAATTAGTGATAAATATCATTTTTGAAAACATTTAAACTTGAATAAACTTTAATATAACAAAATCTTTGCAAAACTCAAAAGTTTTGCAAAAATTTTGTTATATATATTATTTTCTTGATTTTTTTATAGCCTTAAATTAATATCTTCTAAATTGCAGCATAATTATCTTATTTATTTATATATATAATAAATATCTGTATATGTTTTCTAGGTCTATGTTTTGCTTCTGGATTAGCTACTACTATAAATTTAACTTATTTATTGAAGTCTGGAGATAGTATTTTATGTTTTGATGATGTTTATGGTGGTATGTATATTAACTCTCTCAAATTCGAAATATTTTAGTAACGATTTAGGATATTTTTAATAAGAATATTTAATTTTTAGTGAAAGTATTCAAATATTGAAGATGAAATTGCACTTTTTAAAATATTGTTAATAATATTATCTTTTTAACAGGAAGTTGATATTAAAAATTAATATTTTAATTTATAAATTAATAAATTTTTAAACAAAAAAGTAATTTTTTAGTACAGTTTCTTAAAATTTAATAAATTTATTTTATATATTTATTCAAATTTATTTTATTTATTTACTTATTCTAGGCACAAATAGGTACTTCAGAGTTTGTGCTGAAAATATGGGCCTTAAAACAATATTTGTTGATGCAAGAAATCCTGAAAATGTTAAGAATGCTTTAAGACCAAATACAAAGGTTTGATTATTTAAATATTAGATAGAAAATTGGTTTTTTTTACTTAAACATTAAAGAAAATCACTTGTAATTAGAAACAATATTTACTTAATATTTTAAATTATTATAAAATGGAACATGTTAAATGACAAATATATAACAACAAAAACTTAATTAAATAAATAACAACTGGAGTAATGTAAAGTAATAAAAAAAAGCTATGTTACTAAGTGCTTTCAAGCTTATTGCTGATCATCAGATCAATAACCTACTTCAAAATTTTGAAATATGTTATTTCATCAGGTGAAATATTATGATGTTATTTGATCAGACAAAATAGTTGTTTAGTCTGATAATGAAAGTAAAAAAAAATATATTAGTAAATAATTTCAAATTTTTTTAGCTTGAAATTATTTATTACTAATATTATACTGTTTTTTCTTTTACTTTATAAAAGCAATTTTAATTTATTTATTTTAGATAATGAATTCACAATTTATGATATGAAAAACCAATCACCTATGTTATTTCTGATATTCACTGATCCTCATGTTTGTGAATAATTGACACCTTATAATCCTTCATGAACATCAAACTTTGAGTTCTATTTTCAATGTTAAATTTGTAATTCATTCCAAGACATTATGTATTACTGCTGTTTTAAAAATATTTCAGAAAAATTAATGATTTTATTAACTAAATATATTGTGCAATGGTTGTTTCAAAAGTTATTTTGTTCAAGCTAAAAGAAATAAAATAAAACAGAAACAACTTATGATAGACACTATATGAATGAGTGAGTGTAGTGATTTTTTAGCATTGCATCTGCTCACGTATCCAATTCACATAGGTACCAACTCTAGTTTACAATTGTATGTTATCTCCCATTTCTGAATAGGAGTTGAATTTTGGTGCATAAATTTTCAATCACGAATGATCGAATTCCCAAATGTTGACTTCTGTGAACGTCGAGAGTACAGTGTAGTTCTACCTATTGTAGGCTTCATATCATAATATATAGCACTTTAACATTTCTATGGATGGTTATGGTTTTATACTTTCTTAATTTGAAATCATAATATTATATAAGAGTTTGAAAAATTAGCTACATACACTTATACAAATCGGGAAATTGAAATAATGGATGAAATGTGATTCCTGATTTGCTAGATCTATACACAATGAATTTGACAGTCTAAATGAGTCTGAAATATTGTATGGTAACTCGTTTTCTTAGTTATAAGATGGTAGAATTATTTAGTATGAAACAACTTATTACTCTTGTAATAATTGATGAAATTTGATATAATAAAAACTTTTTTTATTATGATTAATTTAACATCAATTAAGAATGTTTCAAAGGAAGAAATTAATTTTTCATATAAAAATAATAAAGATATTGTTCACTATGAATGTAATAAAACAATGTAAAAATATGAAAATTTGACATTAATTTATATTTCTTTTCCTTCTGTTTTAAAATAAGTGTAATATTCATGTTATAATATAAATAATAATCATTGCTGCTATTCTAGATAAATACATTTTTGAATCACCCAGTAAGTTTTCACAATATTATACATTTTATAGAGATCTTTACACATAATCTGATGTAACACTGTATTGAAATTTATTAATCTATAAATTTCAAACAAGACTATTTGCAATTAAAAACTTATTACAAGTCTTACTATAATATTAAAATGTTGAACTAGTTTTTCTATGAACATTTTTGAAAAATAACTGCCTTGAATTTTCGTTCATTGTAATATAGTTATGTGTTAAATGTAATATGCAACTAAATCTGATGAAAATGTTGCATGTGATTTCAGTTTTGTTAGTTATATTAATGAATAAACAAACAGAAAATTCTTCATAAAAATATTTTGGTAAGATTTTATATATTTATAATTTTTCTTTTTTGACCAAATATGGCATGTACAGAAAACATTTGATGCAGAATTTGATAAAAAATTTGAAATAATCAACTTCCTTGATTAGTTAAATCTTACATTAATTATATTAGCTTTAAAATTATAATACAGTAGAACCTCCATTATCCGGACCTCCATTATCCGGATTTTCGATTATCCGGATTGTTCAAAATAAACAAAAATTTACGAATTTGCTGATTTGCACTTGGCGAATTATGACACTGTTTATGTACGTGATGGAATGCATAACTTTTTTTGTTTCAACAACGTCTCACCCAGCACAGTGGTCATAAACTCTTAATATATTTTATGTAGTAATAAAAATATAACTTGACATAAGTATTTATAAATAATTTATATTCAAATTACATCATTTCTATGATCAAGGGCGGCGTAAGGCATGGACGACGTGGGCCACCGCCTATGCCTCGCGGTCCGAAGGGCCTCGCGCCTCGAAGGTTTATGCATTACTTAAAAGCCGCGAACGCGACGAAAAAATTTTACTCGTCATAAAACGATAAATAGTTTGTCAAATTTTTATTCATAAAAATGCAGTTTCAACTGCTTTTTATTTTATAAAATCCGTCTTCTTGCGCCACCAGAGGGCCTTTTAAACAATAGGTAGTCTGTTAGCGTTGGTCAGTAGTAGTCCAAATTCAATACGAACGTTTGTTTCTTGAAAATTTGATCACGATTTAAATACAGTATTTACTTTTAATATTACCGATATGTCATCGAAAAGAAAACGTGTTGTATTATCATTAAAAGACAAATTAAAGTATTTGTTTCGATTATCCGGATTTTTCCTTATCCGGACTACCTTCATCCCCAATTAGTCCGGATAATCGAGGTTCTACTGTATATTTCAGATTTTTTCATACTTGTATTTATTAATACATTTTTATAAAACTTTAGTCAAATTTAATGAGCAGTTTCTCCAGTTTTAACATGGAAACAATAATTAACAAGGAGACCTTACAGACCTGATGTCATGAGTCTTGATGAAACTTTGTGTGGTTATTCTACAACACTGACATAGATACCAGATTTTTCACACAACCTGTGAAAGTTTCTATCAGATTTAACATGTTCACAGTTTTTGATGGAATGAATTTCAAACTCCATAATTTCTCCCAAATTGCTCATATCTTCAACACCCTCCTGGATGAAAATGTTTTTGTTTCAAAGCTGTTTTGCTCCCCTTTTTATCTTTAATAGTTTTTTGTCTTCTTCATCTTTTAACATACTTCATTCTAATCTTAGCTCTTTCAGTTAAATACGATAGAATTGATTTTGTTTTCTACATATATAAGAATTTTAATGCTTTATTATTTATATTATTATTTACAAGTTGTAATTTTATGTTTTATTTTCCCTTGTTATGTATACATAACAACCAGGAAAATATTGGAATCGTATGAATTTTGGTCCTCCGAGATTTTTGCAAATCTCCACATTTTGAAATCTGAATAAAAAAAAATAAAAATCATCTCAGGAAAATTCTGTGGATGTGTGTTTTGGCATCTATTTTGTTTAATATCTCAGGTTGGGGTAAAGATGGAGAAACAAAATTTGGTATGGCAGCTTGTATATAAGGGATATTGATGGTAATAAAATTTGGTGGTTAATTAATGGTTGAAGGCGTGAGGAGATAGTGGTGTCGTGATATCTCGAGAGGGGTTAGACTTAATGAAGATGTTATTTGTTATTTGCATGTGCAATTTTTTTTATAAAACTCATCCCTACCCTCAGAATTAAGCTTTTTGCCATTCTATAATAATTAAAAATATAAAAACTTTTTATTACGAAATTTTATAACAGATGGTGCCACACACAATTTTATTAATTGTATTAATAATATAAAAGTTATTTTTAAATAATACAATTAATAAAATAAAAGTTCTTTAAAAAATAGCCAGAAAAGTTATGTAAATCATTGCCAGATTTTTTTATTATTCAGAGTTAACAATATTTATTTTTTTTCAAAAGATTATGTGCAATGTAATTAATAAAAATATTTTAAAATCACTTTTCTAGATGATTTGGATGGAAACACCAACAAATCCAACAATGAAACTTGTTGACATCAAAGCAATTGCAGATATTGCAAAGAATGCTGCATCTTCTCCAATTTTAGTTGTGGATAATACATTTATGTCATCATATTTTCAGGTCTTTTCATTGCTTTTATTGATTATATATTTAAAAAATTCTTTTTAAATTAATTTTTATTCCAATAGCGTCCTCTACAATTAGGAGCTGATATAGTGATGCATTCTCTGACCAAATATATGAATGGTAAGATTCTATTTGTCACAATACTTTTATGGCTTCTAATTACTGAATCAGGTGAAGTGTATTTTATTAATATTTTTCACTTATAAGTAATTAAAACATATTAGCACATACTTAAAATTCAATAATATATTATTTCAAAATTTTGACATAAGTCAGAAATCTGAAACTAATCATTTGATTTATAATTTGGCATGTTGTAACATATAGCAAGTTATTATTATTATGAAAATATATTATATTTGTTAGTAAAGTTTATTATTAAAACAGTGTTTGTGGCTCCAAGCATAATTTTTTTAATATAAATTTATATGCTGAAACTTTCAACCACTGTCCCTATCCCTATGTATCCCAACATGGAAGTAGTAGTATGGGTTATGCTTATGGAGCCATGCAATGACAGCCTGTTTTATTTCATATTTATAAATGTGAACTGGTGAAATATTGCTTCAAAGGATCACATAGATGATAGTAATCACTGAGCAGAAAATGCTGGATCACACTGCATAAAGAGGATGCTCCAGCACATCCACACAATCATATTGCTGAAACCATTCATAACTTGTGTTATCACGAATCACTCTCCTCTATCTGTCTTGCAAGCACTATCACAAGTTGTCTGTACTTGGAATAAATCAGTGTTATTTCTCATTGTTTGTTTGAAAAAAATAAGGTTGTGTGGTGTGTTTATGAGGATTGCAAAGCTTTGAACACTACAATTTAGAAGAAATAAACAAAGAATATAGCATTTCAAGTGTTTATGAAAAAATAAATTAATTTTACAGAAATATAATACTGAATATTACGTTTAAATTAAGGTAATTTAATTGTTATGAATAATAAAAATTGTAATTCATTCAAATATTTTAAAAATAAAATAAAAATTAGAATTTCTATTAACAAAATTAAACATTAAAATTGCATATTTTAACTGATTTTTCTGACTTATTTTTTTCTTATTGTAGGCCATTCTGATGTTGTTATGGGAGCAATAGCAACAAATAATGAAGAACTTTACACTCGCCTCCAATTTCTACAAAATGGTATTTTATTAATAACTTATTTCTAAATAATTATTTGTAATTATGAAATTATAAAACACACCTTTTGTACTTTTTCAGTAATAACTGTAATCACAGACCAAATTCTTTTGGCCAGGCCTGTAACTTGGGCCAAAAACATGTTCTGTGATTAAAGTTAGTACTAAAAAAGTACAAAAGATATTTTATTATGATTTCATCCAAGAAATTCCAGCTTTTAAGAGAGATTTGTAATTATGATAATATAGTTCTTTAGTAAAGATTATTATTAAAACAGTGTTTGATGCTCCAAACATAATTTTTCTTCTATAAGTTTGCATGCTGAAGCTTTTAAACTCAAAATATATTTAAGGCTCTCGAACATTATAAAGCATTTAACATCTTCTTATTGTCAGAATCTCTATACTGTATAGTTGCAAATGTTCTTTCTAACTAAAATGTGTGAGGTTTCTGTTTGTTCTAAACATTTTTTAAATGACTAAATATTAACTTCTTTTATTAAAAAAAAAACTTTGATGTTAATTGGTAAGAAACAAAAAATAATACCTTTTAAATTTTAAGGTAAATTGTACATTAATGTAGAACAATTGCAGAAATATATACTAGCAGATGAGCCCGTCATTGTTCAGGCAAATAATAACAACAGCAAAGATTAAGATTATCAGATTATTCTGTACTACTAACCATTCTACTATATTATATTATAGTATTTGATTTACAAAGGTTATCTTACATAAGTGTTTATCACACCAAGTGCCCAATCTAACACATTTTTTAAATTGTGTACAGTAGAGGAATAAAGACTTTTTAAAACATGTTAGATTGATCATTCGGTGTAATAAGCTCTTACATAAGATAATCTTTATAGTTATTTAGCTGATCTGACCCATTTTCGTCAGGTGCAAGAATTAGGTCTGCTCCTCCGAGACTAATTAGAAAATTTTTAGATGGGTCTAAAAATATGTCCATTTTCCTGCAAAAATGCAAGAAACCACATCTAAAATAGTAGAGTAGAAGCCGAGTTCTTCAGGATAATCCTTAACTCTCTCCCTCTTCTCCATGGAGAAATTTCCAAAAATTTCTTTCTAGTGTGCATTCTCATGACATGCCCAAACTGTGTACCAAATTTAAACTTTCAACTTCTAACCATTTGGGCTTAGCAATTTATTATTATCATTATCATTATCAACCCATCTCAATTATATTATAAGATTAGGGTCAAATTTATGAGAAATTTTAAACCTCACTTGAATAAAATGATTAATTTTAAATTTTAAAATTAAAAAAAATTTGTCTGGAACATTATATTTCAAATTTGTTTATTTTGGATTTATTGTTTTTGGATTACCCAAAAGGTGGAACTGATTAAAATATTTATTAATTGCCAAAACGTATACTATACGTGCCACTATTTATTTTTCTTTCTTATGATTTACACTTTATACTAACTAAAACTAACTCCTCCCTCCTCTTCCCTTCAGGAGTGAAATTTCTAAAAAATCCCTTCTTAGTGTGCATTCTCATGATGTATCTTACTAAAATGCAGTCAAAAGTGCAAAAAACCACATCTAAAATAGAACAGTAGAAGCAAGTTCTTTAGGTTAAGCCTTAATCTTCTCCCTCTTCCCCACAGGAGGGAATTTTGAAAAATTCCTTCTTAGGGTATGTTATGAGAACATACCCTAACTGTGTACCAAATTTCAACTCCTAACTGTTTTGGCTCTGCACTTGTTGTTGTTATTATCATTATCAACCCATCTCAATTATATATATATAGATGTGACCTAACATTATTGCAATACAATTAATGTTCATATTTTTCTTAACTCTCAAATTATTAAATTTACTTTTTATTGATATTTATTAATAAAATAATTTCATGTTAATAATAAAATAAAATTTATTTTCATATTTATCAAAATGCTCTATAACTTTCCAATTTCAATAGATTTAATTCCAGTATTTAAAATTGGTTGTTCTGAACCTTTAATCTTCATTTCATTAACAATAGAATATATAAGTTCTTAAATATTGTTTGTTTAAAGATTATCTAAAACTTAACTTTGAATAATGTCAGTAATAAGTGTTATTATGATCAAACAGAAAATAAATTGTTTAAATTAATGCATGTAATGTACTTTCAGCATTAGGTGCAGTTCCATCTCCATTTGATTGCTACTTAGTCAATCGTGGCTTGAAAACGCTTCCTGTACGAATGGAACGCCACATGGAAAACGGTTTAGCTGTTGGAAGATTTCTTGAAAAGCATCCAATGGTTGAAAAAGTTCTGCATCCAGGTATTTATATTTTATATAAAAATATTTTAATAGTTTCTTAGTTCTTGTCTTAATAAAGTTTATTCTCTATACACAATCAATTTAAATTGGGAAATTATTATTTTTCTAATTGATGTTGTGATTTGAATAGAAAAAACATTTTAGTATTAGAAAAATTACAATACAATTTTGCAATGATGTTTATACATTTATATATCATGTCTTGGGGGCACTTTTGACAGTGCTGTCTGTTGGCGTTTTTTTTATGACTTACTGTTACAATCTACAGTTCAACTGTTTGCCATTAATTGACTTTATTGAGGATGTCTTTTTCTATCGTAATACTTTTTTTTAATTTTGTTATCTTTACTTATTATTGGAGGAGTTGAACTTAATCCAGATCCAATGTCTCGTACACCACCTTCTTCTCCTCGCAATAAAGCTTTGACTTCTGCTGGTAAACATAGTTGTTCTTCAATGAACCAACATTGAAATCATTTTGACTGGACAATTATTTTGCATCACAGAATATTCCTTCTCAAATACCTCAGAAGAGTGTTTTCTTGAGGACTGTTTTGATATTATTCTATTGAAACTGGAAGAATTGTCATTGAAATTTGACTGGTTGTCTAATTTACACCTGGAAGGAGAAATTACCAAACTTTCATCTTTTAAAACTGTATGTACGGATAAATTTTCTTTTTGGAATTATTATATAGACTGTATAAAACAATTAGAAGAAAAATAATGGTACCATTTCCAGTTTGAGTGGTAATGACAAAGAATTAGTTAATAATGCTAATGGCTTTATTGAGTTGTTTGAAAGACAGAACAGGGAGTCTATTTCTTTTATTAACAGTTATTGAATATTGGGAACTTGGCTTGTATTGTTTGAGCTCTATACTCAAGCTGAGAAAAGACTTATTTTTAAAAATTTAAAGAAAACTCGAGTGTTGCCAGCCTACTCACATATTAGAGTTTTTGATGATTTGTCATATAGATCAAGACTTAGGCATAGAAAATTGTTGCCTTTTTTTGTGGAAGCTAAATTTTTGAATAAAAAAGCATTTCTGAAAGCTGATTGCTTGATGGTGACAAATTCACTTTCAATTTAGAAACAAATGAACTACAAAAGATTAATACTTTAGGTAAATCCAGCCAAAAGGGTTAAGTGGAACATTTACTAAAGATAGGGATAAAACTTTAGTAATGAGAATATTGTCTTGGAATTGTCAAGGAACATTGGACTTGACAGTAAATGACCAAGAGTTTATATATTCATTGCAAAATTATGATTTAGTTGCTTTCACTGAGACTTGGTTAACTAACTATTAAATCTGAGTTCAACAAAGGAAGAACCTGTTTATATTTTTAAACAATTTGCTAAAAAACCAACCGGTCTTGGTTGTCCATATGGCGGTCTCATTCTTGCAGTATCCCAAAAACTAGGTTGTTTGGAATTGTTGTTTAAATCCAATGATTTGATAGTAATTAGATTTAATTGTTGGAAAAATTTTTGTTCACTTAGCTATAGTTTGATAATTGTTCTTGTTTATTTGAGAATAGATCTTTGTGATGTACTGTTAGCTAAAATGGAAGATTTATTTGTTGAGGAATTTTTCTGAGGATGACAGTTATTTTGGGAGATGCGAATACTAGAATAGGCAAGGAACTGGATAATTTTTATGCCAGGAGTAATATTAATTTTTTAAATTCCCAAAGATCTAATGATTTAATATTAATTAATTGTAAAAATCCTTTTCATCTTTGATTTAAGTCATAGGGATTATATATTTTAAACGGTCGATGTATCTCAGATTCCTGTAATATGCTTCTTGTCTAGTCTTGTGTCAATTATACTAGCATTATGACGGCTTTTCCTTTTTTGCTAGACTTATTACACCATGGTAATAATTCTAGCGAATAAGTCTAGTGAAAAAGGAAAAGCCATCATAGTGCTAGTAAAAGTGTCTCAGACTATCTGGCTAAATTTACTTTTCTCTCGACAGTCAGTTTACTGTTATTAAATTAAATCTGTAACAGATATAATTTATCTAATAAATTTGCCTTTTAGATTTTAAACTTGTTGATATTTTTAATTCTTATCATTTTCCAATTTTCAACATCGTTTGGATTTATAATGAATAATGTTTTTACTCTGAAACTTCCAAAAATTCATAATATATGAAAACAAGAAAGATAAATAATTATTTAATTTCTGATTAGTTTGCTATATATTTTAGTTAAAGGGACCTTTCTGTTGGATTCACAGAGTTACTATGATAAACTATTGAAGACTTTGTTAACTTCGGTTTTACAATGTGGAATGGTTAAGAAAAATATTTCTTTATTGTCATTTGAGAAATAATGGTTTGATCGTCAGTATCTATGCTTAAAGAAAACAAAAAACTGAGTATTACGAAAGTATACTCAGTTCTTTGTTTAGAATAGATTTCTAGTTTTGTAGAAATAAAACTATAAATCTATTGGACAAATACTGCAAATTAAATAAAAGCTATAAGTTGCTAAGTAAGGCAAAGAAAAAGTTATTTTTAGCTAAAATAAACTCATTACTATTGAAGACTAAAAATACTAGAGATTTTTGGTTATTAGTTAATAAATTTTGAATTAAGAAACCATATGAAAATGCTATGTCTCCCTTGAATTGGTTGAATTATTTGATAGAGTATTTCATTGGACCAAATACAGTAATTTATATTGATTTAAGCTTTGGTAATAATGTTTCTCTTTTGGATGATCCTATCACTTTGAGTGAATTGGAAACGGTAATCAGAAAATTAAAATTATCTAAGGCCCCCAGGTCTTGATAACATAAGGCTTGAAATGATGAAATACTATTAGATATATTGGATATGTTTCATTTCTTTTTGGACTAATTGCTCTTTTCCTTTATCTTGGAAACAAATTGCTTTAAGGATGATTTATAAGAGGGGAAGTAGGCAAATAGCAATTGGTCTATGATTAGTTGACTTAATTTGTGTATTTAAAAAGGTTTTTTCAACTATTATGGCAAATTGTGTCTGAAATTGGATTGAATGAGTTTAATATTGTTACACCTCTTCAAGGAGCATTTGTTAAAAATAGAGGCAAATATAAATTTGTTTATTTTAGTTGGTCTTATTCAAATATCACTTTTGAAGAAATGAGGGAAATTATATACAGTAGAGCGTCGTTTATCCGAAAGCTGGTTATCCGAAAGCATTCCAGTCGGCAAATTTAAATTTTCGCCAGTGCTGTTGCGCTGCAATCTTCGGCTATTTCTCGGGCTACTCAAATATTTTATGTTTTTGATACTAAATTAACATCTGAAGTATAATTTTTTATTGTTTTTATATTTTTCAATAAATTTATTTTGTTTGTACAAAATAAAAAAATAATTTTTAACGATACAATAGTCTTCGTTAGGCTTAACATCGACGAAAATTCAACGCNTATGATAAAAATACTAAAAATTTGTACAACCTTTTTTCATTTTTCTTGATTAATAAATTTTTCATTTCACAGGAAAAAAATTTGTGAAAAAAAATTTGCATGATAAGATATTAAATAATAATAATCATTCTTATTTAACTAAATTTAATTGAAATAGACAGTTAAACAAAGAATGTAAATTATAAAATTATAGCTAGTACAACAAATAGTTTATAATAAAATTTAAATCAGTTTCACTCAGATTAGTATTTTTCAACTTTTTTCTCATTGTGGACAAGTAAAATTTTATGTGGCCTAAGTAATTATATGCAACTATGAATTATACTTATTTATTAATCTTATATGTGGGGAGTCTGATATTAAAGGTACTGTACAGGCCAAAATCACATTAACATTTATAAATAAAGAAAATATTTAATACATTCCACAAGAAGTTTATTTCTCGATATAATTGCTGTAAATGTAGAGACATTTATTCCAGAATGACACTAGTTTGAACATCCCTTCATGATACTGTTGCTTGTCAAGTTGCTTGAAGTAGTTCAGAACAGTATCTTCCAATTCCTCGTGATCTGCAAAGTGTTTCCATGGAAAAATTTCTTTAAAGGTCCAAATAAATGAAAATCCAATGGGGGGCTAAATTTGGACTATATGGAGAATGTTGCAGGACCTCCCAATTCCGCTGTGCCAACCAGCTTGGTTTGATGAGTGAAGTATAGTCCAGATTTAGCCCCCTTGAATTTTCATTCATTTGGACCTTTAAATAAATTTTTGGTGTGGAAATGTTTTGCAGATCAGGAAGAATTGGAGGCTACTGTTCTGGACTACTTCAAGCAACTTGACAAGCAAAGTACCGTGAAGAGATGTTCAAACTAGTGTCATGCTGAGATAAATGTCTCTACATTTATGGCGATTATATCAAGAAATAAACAAAAGTATGCAGTACTTGTGGAATGTATTAAATATTTTCTTTATTTATAAATGTTAGTGTAATTTTGGCCTGTACCTTTAATATTGGATTCCTCTCATAAATGCTTTATAGAGTTACTGTACCTAATTAAATATGTACAGTAACTCTAGATTACTATTTAAATGTCACCTGTTGTTCAGATTGTACCAACTTCAGTATAGTCAAATATTTTTCTGTGGACTGGTGAAATTTTTTCTTGGACTGGCAGTTGAAAAACACTGACTCAGATATCATGCAAAAATTATTAAAATATCCATTATCATATAATAATTGATATATAAACATGATCTAACTGCTCTTTGTAAATGAATAAATGGAATAATGTGAAATATGTATTCTTTTTAAAAAATCTTTTTATATATAAAGTTATCATTTTTTTAACATACACACACATATATATATAAACTTTATCATAAAAGATACTATAGTAAAAGAAGTGATTGTTAAATTAAAGTTACACTATTTTATCTGTTTAATTTGTTTCTAGAAAAAACAAAAACATTATTTGTATCTAGTTGTTCCATTTCATTTTGCTTATTACTTGGTTTTAAAAATAAAAAATTATTGAAATTGGATTTTAAATCAGGAAGCAATTGGC